CACAATGTGCGCGACCGTCGAAAAAGACTGTTAGCCTAGACAAATGTATGCTCAAGTTAATAATACATTAGTTCACACCAATCTTCGGCGGATCACGCTCTCCTCGAATATCCTCCACAGTAGATACTGTGACACTGACTCGGTGGTTGCTTTAGTGATAACAGAAAAGTACTCACCTCAATGCAGATCCTCAGCCTCACCGATGACCATTGTAGCAACGACTACGCTTGCTACCACTTCGTAAAAGTGCAGGTGATAAACCGCAAAAACATCCGCCAGCAGAGTGTGAAAAACGACGTAACATGCGATGGGGAGAATGTGGAAGGTGAAACGTCTGCACGAAGTTGTATACAGCGTCGTCTGCAGCAGCCACAATCTGTGCCTCGATGATGTCCAGGGCTGTACGATGCACGCGGGTGGATATTGAAGGCGTGACGGTCCGCATAAAAATAGGCAGCGGATGACCAACTAGAGCCTACCGCAATTGGGACCCAATAATTCGATTACAGAAGGCCTAGAAGTGCAAGAGTCATTTAATGCGAAATCGAAATGCAGACAAAATCAATGACGAGGATGGCGACTTACAAGACGCCACCACTGGCATGCAGTGCCGGGAGGTTTGACGCGAGCAGTGTTCCCCAAGAGCTTTCGAATATGACATCCATCACCTCGCTGACAGACCTGCGTCCGACATAGCGAAGGAGGAAGGTGATTTTTCCGAGAGCGGGAAACTGCTTGCCGGAAAGGGTGTGATCCATCTGTACAAAACAATCATCGTAGACAGTATTCAATATATCCTGGACGGAGACAGGTGTTTTCACATAGAGTAGCCACGATCCAACGGTGACCTCGACTAGCTTCGGTACAGACATGCGAAGCAAGACACTGACTGCCTTGGCTATGTCATCTAGATTTCCATTGACCGACAGGATGCGCAAGTTCACCGCGGGTGTGAGATCGATTCGCAAGTCTGAGGAAAAATCGTCAACAGACACTGGATGACGTCACTTCCACCACGTACCTGTGTAATCATACACAAATCTTGAGGAACAAGAGTGACTCGGCGGACACAGTGAGCAGCTCCGAATGCTTCTCGAAGTCCCTTCTATAGCAGGTGAGATGCCGAAGGTGCGCGCCAATCGACACGAAGAAGTCAGATATGTCATCGCTGTAACGCAGATCGGCGGCGTCGAGTCGGCGGGAACCTGGCATTCGTACTGCGCCTGCGACATGATAGCCCCTCTTGAACTGCACCCTATGGAACGCAAGGGAGGAGAGGCGGGGGAGAGCACGCATGAGTCGCCCAAACACAACCACAGACCGGAAGGCCACATAAAAGAGTTTCAGCTTGATCGCCGACCCAAATGTGAGAGTGACATAGAGAAAAACCTGGGAGTGCAATCGCTCAGTCTCCCATTCGCAACGCCAGAGTCTGAGAAGTTCGATTCGGGGCAGCTTCTGCATCATGCGCACAGCAAACGATCCAAGAAGGCCAATTGGCTGTTTTCAACCGAACCAGACTGTCTTGATGGCACCCCATCGCTCGGGGTCCTCGCCCAGTGTGTTGATCGGGCGATACACTTCTTGCTTGTCCATGAGCCGCACATCGTGTCTCTCATGATTACGAAAGCGACATCGGGTATACCACCTACGACACACCTGCCCAAGTCGTCGCATGTCCTGCTGTTCGTCGTCCGCGATGAAATCGATAATCCACTCCCACAATTCCGTCGGAA